TTAATTGCCAACCGAATAGTTACACGAAAGGAAGGTTTAATTTTGGCAAATTTGGAAATTAAATAATTACGGAGTTCTTATTTAAAATCCGCAATTATTTAATTGCCAACCGAATAGTTACACGAAAGGAAGGTTTAATTTTGGCAAATTTGGAAATTAAATAATTACGGAGTTCTTATTTAAAATCCGCAATTATTTAATTGCCAACCGAATAGTTACACGAAAGGAAGGTTTAATTTTGGCAAATTTGGCAATTACATAATTGTGGAGTTTTTATTTAAAATCCGCAATCATTTAATTGCCAATTTAATAGTACAGATCTTAATTCTTCCACACGTGCCTGTCGAGTGGGTCGGGGATCGTTTTGGATAGCTGCACACAGGATGTCATAACGAGATCTCACATGGAACGTTACAATAAAAGTCATTTCACAAAAAATAACACACGATCTACTGATATTTATTATTGTATCATTGAAAGCTTGAATATTTATTGGCTGCGCATTATGCGATCGATTTATATGAAAAGTTTGCCAGGAATCAATCCAGATGTATCGCGCGATGCTCGACAATCTACACGATCGTATTCGATGAATTTCGATATTTTTTTTTTATCTGACAGACGAAACGTTCACTTTCTTCAACGTGAAAAATAATAGGCAAAGCAACGTATAACTGCCAGGCTAATCAGCGAAGCAAAGAAAATTAATCATCCCCCTCCCCCCTCCTCCGGCGTACGCTCTTCTTTTGATAAAAGAACGTAGAAAAGTAGCGAACCAATCGAAGAAATGCGTAAAAATGAAAGATTCACCAGTCAACGTATTTTGCTAGTTAAACGAAACGACTGAAAAAAAAAAAAATTGTCAATTCTGATTTATTCATTCTGACGATGTTGACTCGATTAAAAGAAAAATGAGGTTTTAAAGGTCCTCTTCTCGTCGACAAATGAAAAATGTTGACTGGCAACGGAAGTGAAACGGAATCGCAGAAAGTTAAACGAATCGATCGTTTTCATTATTCCGTTGGAATAAAGTGAAAAGCGTAACTGAAAAACAGTGCCACGAACTACACAGCGCACACAGCAAGCGATCTGATTGGATATAAACCTTCTTTCCAACTGTTGGACGGTCCCTCACCTGGCGCCTGAGCGGATATCTGATTGGTGAGTCTGGCTCGCATCATTTTAGCAATATATAGGAAATTTCGCTTGACCCACTTAATGAATCGCGCTATTCGATCGATCGCCTCCGCGATCTTGTTCGTATCGTTGTCCGCTGTCGGCGCCGACAGATTCGACGAGCCGAAGTTGCTCAGCAACAAAGCCAAGAAGAGGTTCAGCACCTGTTCGTAGAAACGACGAAATCGATCGAATCTGTTCATCGAACTCGTCGGAGATCGACCCGAGGTCACGGGTAATCACGCGCCCTGATCAACGTCCACCGGGCGAATACTTACGACTAAATTACCAATCACGACGGTCGCCAGAAAGAACGGAATGCAGGATACGTCGCCGACGAGCATACAGTCCCACATGGACTCGATCCATTCGCCGCACAGCACACGGAATACAATCATGAACGAGTGCATGAAGTCGGTGAAGTTCCATCTTGGTAGATCGCCGTCCGGGAAACGGTCGACGTTGTCGGTGTAGTTCTTGCCGAATAACTGCATACCCATCACCGCGAAGATGAAGATAATTATGCAGAGCACGAAGGTCAAGTTACCCAGCGCGCCCACCGTCCTGCCCATGATCGAGATCAGCAGATTCAGCGTCGGCCACGATTTCGCCAGCTTGAACACTCTCAACTGGAAACGAAAAACAATTCATTAAACGAAGAAAATTAATGAACTCATGCCAATCAAGATTAAAAAATCGTGTAATAAATTAATTTCTCTGACGTCTAAAGAAAATTCGTTAAATTCGATTTTAAAAAAAGTCAGACAATTTTGAAATATGTACGAATATCTGTGGATTTTATTGTAGATTCTGACTTATTTCTAGTGCAAACTGGTATTAAAACTAAGCGTACCAATCTGAATGATCGCAGTACGGAGAGACCTTGGACACCTTCTAATCCTAATTCCAGAAGCGAGAGAGCGACGATGATGAAGTCGAAGATATTCCATCCCTCTTGAAAGTAATATTTCGGACTCATAGCTATCAATTTTAGCGTTGCCTCGATACCGAATGTCGCCGTGAAGAACTACAAAAGATATTCGCATTAACATGAAACGAACACATAATTATTGATGCTAGTGAAAAATTTTTTATACAGAAATTGTTGGCACTGACGTCCTCTACAAGAAAAATTCTATGCATTTTTCTTCTAATTTAAGTATTTAACGAGTTAAGTATGATTAATTGGCATTTTAAGGGTGTTGACGAAATTCGACCATTCTACCGTCGAATCAGTAAACTTTTGACAAAAAATTTCGTTTTTCCTTAATTACTCCTAAACCGTTGAATCTACGGGAAAATTGCATAGGACCTTTCTTGTAGAGGATAACGAGATCTACAATTTCCATATAAAAGTTCTTCGCTAGCATTAATATTTAACGAGTTATTGACAAAAAACGAAAAAACAGTTTTTTGCAAATTACTCGTAAACTATTGACACTAGCGAAACATTTTTATACAGAAATTGTAGATCTCGTCGTCCTCTACAAAATGGTCCTATACATTTTTTCGTAGGACCTACGGTATGGAAGTTACTGGCCAAAAACAAAAATTTCGCAAAATCTGAAGGGGTACCCCTTGGAAAGATCTCGGAAAAATTGAAAAATTTTTTTTTCTCAAAATATCGAGAATTTTTAATCAAAAATAGTGCACTTTTCTTCTAATTTCGATATTTAATGAGTTACATATGATTATATGGCATTTTATTGATGTTGACAAAATCCGATCATCCCAGCGTCGAAATGGCGAACTTTTGACAAAAAATTTCGTTTTACCTCAATAACTTCTAAACCGTTGGACCTACAGGAAAATCGCATAGGACCTTTCTTGTAGAGGACGACGAGATCTACAATTTCCATATAAAATTATTTCGCTAGCATCGATAGATAACGAGTAATTGACGAAAAACGAAAAAACAGTTTTTTGCAAATTACTCGTTAACTGTTGACGCTAGCGAAAAATTTTTGCATGGAAATTGTAGATCTCGTCGTCCTCTATAAGAAAGGTTTTATACAATTTTCCTGTAGGTCCAATGGTTTGGGAGTTATTGGCCAAAAACGTAAATTTGGAAGAAATTGAAGGGGTACCCCTTGGAAAAATCTCGGAAAAATCTCGGAAAAATCGAAAATTTTTTTTTTCTCAAAATATCGACAAATGCTTTAAATAAAAGTTGTAGGTACTACTATTACTTAGAAGAAAGGTCGTATACAATTTTTTTCTGCCTCGAATACTCCAAGACTAATCAATTAATTATATCGTTCTTCAGCAAATATTCCTTGATGAGGAGTCACATTGCATAGGATCTTTTTTGGATCATAATGCCCTGGTTGGAAATACCTAAACGAACTACGAAGAAAAGAATTACGGGTCGAATGGTACTCACGTAGTTTCCTGTCTTGAGCACCCTCTCCATGTCCTTGTCCATGTCGTGATGGTCGAGCGCCATGAATAGTGTGTTGACGACGATACAAAGGGTGATGAACAACTCTACGAATGGATCGAACACCAAAAGGGACACGTACTTTTGAAATTCTAGCCACAACCAGCAACAATCCCACACGCAGAAAATATCGATGCAACGTAGCGCCGCGGCCAACAACTTGTCCTTGAACGTTGGACCCTCTTCATCGTCGGCTGTCGGAAAGTAATATGTCGTAACTGTAACGCGTGTTAGTAATTTTGTCTGGCACCACTCTTTTTGGGGAAAGAGGTTTTTCTCGTTCAATTATATCAAGCTTGCGCTATGTATATTCTTAGTCTGTACATTCGTTTTCGTTCGATTCGTTAGACCACAGATTAGAGACGAAGAGGCAGGCAGGTGTGTTCGTGCGTGTCGGTCTAGCGTCGGGAGAAGAAACGTAAATAAAAATCATTTGGAAAGCGTCCAACTACAGATTTACGTTAAGCGATGAGAGGGTAAAACGAGGGGGTGAGGGTGAACTAGAGTGCGTTCGAATGCATTCCACGTGAAAGGCGCGTGCAGCTTAGGAAAGAAAAATTGCCACCGCAAATCGGGCCGAGAGTGTGTCGTTGCGCAGTCGAGGGATTTCTGGGAGAAAATTGCCGGTTTTATGTTCGAGGGAGTAAATGAAACTTGCCAACGTCCAAAATGCAATTGCAATACCTTGCGAATCGGCGGAACGGGTTGGGAACGGGTGAATTTAATTTCGAGAAAAAAATTAAACAAATCATATTACTTTTTTTTTATTAATGAAATTATTTATCTTCTTCTATCGAACATTCTATTTTATCAACGATAATTATAAGAAAAATTTTGATACGATGGTTCGAGCCTGGAAATGACAATGAACCGTCATAGGATGAGAGACTGCAATTATTGGATCGCAACTACGGCCGTGAGCGAATGGAAATATGTAAGTAAAAGTGATTTTTGACGCCAGTCGTACGATTTGCAGCGACCTAAGATCGACGTGCTCGGTGTTCTTCACACGCTTTTCGACTGATTCTCAGCTCTAATCGCACTGTCTATAGCGCGAGACTCGATCAAGCGTCACGATTCTACTTGGACTCGTAAGTAGATAAGTACACCTACGTATGTGCAACGCAGGCAGAACGCGGTGCCCCTGAAGCGTGTGCGACGTCGCGAGAATAACTACGGATGAAACTAAAGAATCTTCGCTGCATCGATTTGTAAATGTCGAACGAGGATGAAGCACGAAGCGAGCAGAGCCGTGCTGCCGCAGCTAGGATGTTAATCTGTGTCGTATACCACATCAGGAAACTCTGTTTCCCCAAAAGAAATCACTACAAATTGTTATCCTTTTCTCAATTTCGAGCACTTCTTCGAGTTTATTCGATCTATCACGACAGTTTTAGAATTCAAATTCTAATCGTACGGTCCCGAGTGTCACCGTCGAGGCTCTTGGATACAGGATAAATAATAATACTACTATCATCTCCCGTGGCTTCGTCCACGACACACCTCATCACTATATAAAGAGGAAGCGTCCGTGTGCTAGGAAAAATCTAAAAAATTACCGAAATCTATGACACTGTACAGCTAGTAACAATGAAACTGAGCCTAATTTCTTAAATAATCGTTACGTTCCTTCGATTCGAATAATAATAAAAAACAGAAATGATTGGGACGAATGGGAACCTTGGCATGCACTGTAGTACACATTGGTATCGATGGAACTCAATAAACAAAGTGGAAATAAAATAAGATGTTCACTTATTACTCGTTTTGAATTTTGTCCCTTTAGGGGAGACTAACACATGCACGTAGCTGGTTCAATTTCATTGTCACTGGCTGTAAAAGATTTAGTACAATTTGACAATACTACAAAAAAAGACAACAAAGTAGTGAAATGCACGACAACCAAATTTTGAAGTCGACTTTCGTGTTTTTTATCATAGAATCATCCCACGATTTCCGGCCCACCCTGTACAATGTACAAT